ACGTGGGGATGCGGCCGCCGTGTGGGGAGAGATTATTAAACCGGTCTAACTTTACCCTGGCGGCACGTGGCTTAGTGCATGTTCCAGAGCGAGAGACCCCGAGGCTACTCAAGTACCGTCCTGCTTCCAGCTTCCCCTCCCCTCTGGCTGCGGGGAGCGGTCTCCCGGCTTAGCAGTGCCGTGCATGTCAGGCACAGTGAGAGCAGCTGGAGGCACGTCTGTTCCCTGCAGGTCTGCCCCGTGAGGTGCCCACTGGGGAGAGCCACGAGGAGGAAGGTGGTAAACTGCCCACCGGAGTGAAAGAGAACTGAACCAGATGCCTGTACTGGGTCATCGGGACAGTCACGACACCTCCCCCACGTTTTCCTATGCAAAAATGTGCCAGGACCTTCCCGACGACCCGAAAGCCCTGCGCGTGCACACACACGTGCTGTTAGTGCCAGCTGCAAATCCCCTGCGTGTCTCCTGCACATCTCTCTCACTGGACGTCCCAGCTGCTCTACCGCCCCTCCGCGCTTGCCTCCGAACCACCGGCCACCGCAGTTACACCGGCACCTCCCGGCTGCCAGCCCCTGCCTCCCCCATTCAGTGACCTCCCATCTGAATATGGAGGGCCTGGAGCGGCCCTGGGGGTGGGGCTGTCCCGGTGCGCTGGGATGCTGAGCACAGGAGTCCCTGTTTCCTGGTGAGGGCTCCCCACATCAGACGGCGGAAGTCGGCCTGTCTGGGGAGGAGCTAAGCTCTGAAACTCCGGTTCGATGAATCACCTTTGTCATCACATCGGGGCAGAAAAGCCAAACATGCAGAGTGGGAAGCGGCCAAGGAGACAGCAGCCCTGTTTCCAGGGGACGGCTCCTTTCTGGAGTCAGCTCCGCGGTGGCCACCTCGTGACCTCAGCCCGCTGTGGCCGGACCTGGCTGCACATCCTCACTGCACCCCACTGGCCCTCTCTGCTCAGGGGCCACAGCCACGTGATCAGGTGCTGGGTGGGCGTGGTCACAAGTTGCAGGAGGCGCTGTCCGACCTTCCCTCGGTGAAAAGAGCACGTGACCACTGCAGGCTCCCCTGGCTGTTAGGAGTGAGCCCCAGCTCCACCCGCCCACCTCCATCCCCACCGAACCCATCCCTGGGTCTGTACGAGGAGGGTGTCACTGAGGAACAGCTACGGAGCGCGCGGAAAGGGAAGGAAACGACCCCGTCTGCCAAGAACCACACCAGCCAGATCCTCCGAGGCGAGGCTGAGCGGAGGGCCTTCCTCGTGAAGCCAGCCAGGCTGCTCTGTGCAGACAGCCGGGTGGGATGACAGATGGCTGCTGTGGGAGGCTCTACGTAAAGGATGTCCCTTACTCCGCGTGACGTCCGATGTTCTGTACAGCCGAAGTCCAGCAGTGCTCTCCGAGTGGCTCATGGGCCGGAGGAAGGAGTGACGGGAGTCCTGGCCCGGGAGCTGGGGGGCCGGGGTAGGGGGGCAGGGGAGCCGGGGAACTGGGGAGCCGGGGAGCCGGGGAGCTGGGCAATGGCGGCAGACACGCAGCGGATGGGGCTTAACCCAAGACCTTCCAGTGTCCCCATTCCAGGATGACTCCGGCTCCAGACCTCGGAGTACGCTAGGTAGAAATAGAGGATGTGAGGAGACAATTTATGGTGACAAAGACCTCGTTCGATGGTCCGTGTGTTAAAGGGAACATGCATATTTTACTTCATAACGAAAGGTTTTTATACTAAAAATGCTAATGAAATGTGAGGAAAAGGCGTCAGTGATGAGAAACAATCCCGTGGTAACGTCTAAGAAGGAGTCATCTGTTTGACTAATATCTTGGTTTTAATCTTGAAAACGAGCCGTGCAGCAGGAGCCAGGAGGACAGCGGCCCTCCCAGGCGGAGCCGTCCGGCAGCCGTGTCTGGGTGACTTTCCAAGACTGTGCGGGCGGAACCGCGGGGTCTGCAGGCTTCGCCCAGGGGCCGCTCGGGGACCTCAGTTCCTGGGCCTCTGCCCCGCACGCCCTCCTCTCCTTCTCGTGCCTGAGTCTGTCACACAGCACTCACCACTTGCCTGGAAGCACCTTGAGACAAGAGTCTGTGCACGACCGACGTGTGCAGGGAGTGCTCCCGGGAGGAGCCGAGTGCTCCAGGGGACCAGGGCAGGGGGGAAGGCCCCGAGCAATGGTGACATGGGTGAAGTGCAGACTGGGGCAGCTTCAGCCGGAGCCCCCGGGCACTCGGCCTGTGGCCCAGTGGAGGTGAAGGGGGGTCGCCCTCCAGCACAAAGTCTGCTGACAGCCGCCTTCACAGACAGGAACGCCCAGGTGGCTCCAGGCACTCAGTCAGCCCAGGGAAGCCGCAGGTCCAGACCGTGGGAGATAAAGCCCTTAGCAGCCAGGGCGACGGTGCAGGGGTGACGGCGGCAGCGGAGATGCAGCACGCTCCGTGTCCCGGCCTCCCTACCCCGGGGTGTGTATGCGCACGTGCCCTGACCGGGCTGCTGGGCGGGGTGGTCTCAGGCCCTGCCGTGTCCTCCCTCGCGCTCTGTCTCCGTCTCTCATGGGGGAAGTAAACTCCCCAAGTGTGTCGGGGGCTTCGAGTAGCACCCAGGCCTGTCCCCCATAGCCAGCTGCCCGGCTTTGATGATGAGTCTGTCGCTCGGATGCCGTCAGGGAGTGCTGTGACCCGTAGAGCACACGCCTGAACTCTCTCGGGAGGACAGGGTCGTTGAGACGCCAGGTTCAGCCTCTCTGACTTTGCTGCGTTTCCAGAAGTTTCACCCAGTCATGCTCTAGAGTACCATCTGGCAAACCCTCGGTCGGCAGTGCGATTTCACTCTTGGCCCCCCCGACCTGCCACCTTACCCGTCACCCACTTGTCCTCCTGGGTGGTCACAGTGAGGCCGGATCACAGTCTGCGTCGTAAGGACCCATCATACTGTGTTGGCTTCCTATTTTGGGGAAATGGCAGGCCGCTTTAAGATGCACTGGCTTGCATGACAAGTGCGTAGGACCGCATTGTTCCGCGCTCGCAGGTCAGTGCCCGTGCGGTTTTGATCTCTAAATGAATGGCAAGCTTGCATGTGTCGAGTGCCCTAGTTCCCATGTCTCAGCTTTAATTTACAGACACATGACGAGACTGGAGAGCTGGCAGAAGACCCTGAAGGCAAAGCTAATTTCAAAGCATCTCGTTACAGAAATGTCCCAGCGTAGCTTGTGCAGAATCCATTTGAGGTACTCACAGCAGCTTCCGGCCCGTGCGAGCTCTGGGCGACACGTGGAGCTGTGCTTGCACTGGGACGAGAGGCCGCTGTGGTTGTCCTCGCCCGTGGCCGTGCCCACCCTTGCCCTGGAAACGGGGGGGACGCACTGCACAGGAACCAGACCGGGCTTTGATACACAGCCTTCCTGAAGGCCACGGGCTGCCCAGGTCAAGTACTCCCACCCTGGTTAAGGCGCTGACACTCCCACCAGGCTGACCACAGTTCAAGCCCCAGACCTGGTGTCTGGTTGGCTTGCTTTCTCACTCCCACCTCAAAATTAAATAAGTAATTCTTTAAAAAAGAAGTTAACCTCACAGCTCTTCAGTCTCACTTCTCTCGTACTCCCCACCCCTTCATCTCTTCTCTCTCTCTGTGTTCCTCCGCCTCCCCACCATCCTCTCTACTTTTAATATATTGGGTTGTCGGAGAAGTCATGATGCATCTTTGCATAGAATAACATCGAGAAACAGGGACGGCTCTCCGAACGCCAGTCTCAGCTTTAATACTGCACTCCCTCTCCTCCCTACACCAAGAACGAGGCTCCCCGGCCCCGGCCCTCAGAGCTCTGAGTTCCTTTCGAGAAGCCTGCACGGGTGTGGGGGGGTCCCACAGCTCTGCCACATGCAGAGGACAACGTCCGGTGACTACAAGGATGCAGATCGCACTCGTTAGCAGTGGGGCTCACAGGGAGAAGGTGCTTGGACCGTGGAAGCTGAAAAGGCATTTTCTTCTCTCTTTTTTTTTTTTTTCTTTTTGGAGAGGTTTTTGCTATAGGGCATGTGTGCTCGCCAGAGAGACAGAGAGAGACAAAGACAGAAAGACAGAAAGCGAGAAATCACCACCTCCCCCCAGGGGGATGGCCGCGTCGCAATCCCTTCTCCTCCATTCTCCTCTCGGGATCTTGGGCACGCACGTACATGTATGCGTTTAAGCTGCCGGGTCCAGGATTCGAACCGCAGTCGACTACATGGGAGTCGAGCGACATAGCCATTACGCTGACTGCTGGCCCCTGAAAAGGCATTTCCCTAGCTGGCTTCCAGAGGGTCTTACCTATTGCCCTCCGTCCACTCTGGGAGGGGCCAGCACAAACCCCTCCTGCCACCGGTCACCAAGAGCAGCAGAGGCTGTCTGAACGCCGACTGCCGAGGCAGAGGAGGTGGCCGGACTCAGACACGAACAGAGTCCGGCCATCCAGCCGGGCCGTGCTGCATGCCTGTAGGAGGCTGGGATGTCTAAGAACTGTCACTTTTCCAAGTAATGTCCAGCCGCTTGTCTGTGCTGGTCAGCAGGGGTGTCACGGTCCTGTGGTGGCCTTCATGCCTCTCCTCCATTTCTCTGTAGCTCTCCCTCCCCACCACACGACGCCCAGGTGCCCTTTAAATTCTGCACCCCAGCTTGAGCAGCCTGAGGTTTTGGGAAATCCAGTGGGGATGGCAGGTTACTTCCTGAGAGGGAGGGAGACAGCACTTCTAGACAGAGACAGGAAGAAAGCTTCACAGAGACACAATGCGCTCCCATAATCCCCCATGAGCACCTGCTCCTGTGGTAAGCAGCCCAGAGAGTGTGGGGAGCAGGAGTGTCTACACCCGGCCTGTGGCACAAAGCTAGACATGGATTGTTCTTGGGGAACTGAGTCCTGAAATGCTCCTCCTGGTGATGGGGTGTGCACAGAGGAGCAGGTGAGGGTGCTCCAGGGCCCCGTCACCTGCCAAGCAGAGCCTCTGTCCCCCAAGTCACTCTCTTGTTCTCCCCTCCAGGGCTGACGGCGCTGCCTACGAAGTCATGCAGGTCGATGTGGAGGTGGAGGGGCCCGGCGACGTGCCGACCACACAACTGGTCACGTGGCAGGTGGAGTACCCAGGAGAGATGACGTCGGACCTGGGCGTGTCCAAGATCTACGTGAGCCAGAAGGACGTGATCGGAGTGATCCCACTGGCCATGGTAAGGAAGCCCCTCCCTTGGGCTGTCACCAGACCTTGGGAAAGGGCCATCTCTGCACTGTGAAAATGTCTGGGGGCAGAAGAGCCCAAGCCTGAGTCGGGGAGAAGCTTGCTGACCGCAGCAGCCAGTTCTAGAAACATTGCTCGATTCTTAAAATCCCATTCACACTCCGGGCATGAGACCCAGGTCTGCTATTGCATGAAGGTCGGAAGTGTGACAGACACTGAAAGTAATTTGAGGGTCTCGAGCGCATACCACTGCAGAGACCAGCAGCTGGAGCGTGTGCGTGGGCACAAGCCTGCCCTGTGGAAGGCCCCAGGAAAGAGAAGCTGATTCTGAGAGTTTCCGATCCGCTGATTTATCAGAAGTCCGTCAGTCGAGCTGTCATCAGCTTGTTCATGTCGAGACCCCCTAAATGTGAAGTGCACTGCGGGGTTAGCGGCATGCCCATGCACGGGGCGCCTGTGCCTCCCGTACTCTGGAGGACTTAGGTGTAAAACAGCACGTGCATTCCCAGACTGGAGTCTTTAAGGAACGGACTCTGGTCTCCGTCGGACACACTCAGGCGGCCAGTGGGCACCCCGTGTCCTATTTTCACCTGAACAGAACACACGACGCCCTGCTCAGTCCTGCCTGAGCCTGGAGCTCTACAGGCGCCCTACAAAGGGATTTTTTTTTTTTTTTTGAGTTTTTGCTATGGGGGGGGGTGTGTGTTCACCAGAGAGAGAGGGGGAAAGTGAGAAATCACCCTCCGGGGGCATGGCCATGCCACAGTCCCTTTTCCATTCTCCTCTCGGGTATTTGGGCATGAATGCACACACACACACTCAGCATGTTCTGTAAGCCGCCAGATCTGGGACTCAAACCATGCAGCAGACCACATGGGAGTCAGCCACCTTCACCACGATGCCCCTGGCCGGCCCAGTAATCGGTTCTTTTTATCCACATCGCCGTCCCCCACACAGACGCCGGGCATGGTAGTTTGCCCGCCTGACTCAAGCTTCCTCCTGTCACACGCTCTCTTTTGCTGTCAGGTGTGAAGTTCGAGCCAGCCTCTCCTTAAACCACCTGCCGTCTCCCCCAGACCATTTATTAGACAAGGGGCAGAAACCAACCTCAATAGACGCTAGGACGCGCCTAGTGGCAATGCATCGGCTGTCGTGCTGCTCGTTAGGGGACGCGGAGGTGCTTGGGGATCCCAGCTGACAGGGCTCTCACCGACTGGTCCTTTTGTTTTAAAAGCACAAAGCCCTCCCAGACACGATGTCCCGTGTCCCAGTGGCCCTCCTTGTTTGTGGCTGTTACAAGTTGTGTTACTGGGATCCCGATGCCGTTTGTCTCGAATAAGTAGCTATCTGAACTGGCTGCTCTCTGCACCCGTGTTCCTGTGGCCCGTTAGTGGAGTTCTGGGAATAGCCTGCCCTGCTGTGCTCACCAGCCACTCTACTCGGCTCCTTGAAAACTTCTCAGCCTTGTAGGTCCCTGCTCCAAACTCCATCTTGTTCACAGCCCAGGGGTCCCCGCTCTCCCAGAAGCCCTCTCCCCGCCTCTACGCTCTCGGCACCCACTCGTCCAGCGCCCCCTCTTGCTGGGATGCAGGTAGTGCTGAAGGCTGTACAGAGTGGAGCTGAGAAAACGCCTCCGCTCAGCCCAGGGGGCCCTGGCAAGAGTTAGGAATTGCATCGGCTGAACGCCAGGGGTCCTGACCAGGCCTTGCCCCCTGCCTCCGCCAGTAGTAACCTGAATGCCCACGTGCTGCTTCTTCCACGTGTGGGAGTTCTATGGTGGGTGGCCTAAGGCTGGGGTGATGTCCCACGTCAACCGAGATGGCAGCCCCGCCATTATTTCTGCTTCAGCATTCAAATACAGGAATTCCCTCCTCATGGTCACCTCAAGGCCACACACGGCTGCTGGGGTGCCAGCCATGGTTCCATATC